GTTAAATACGGTTACGATTAAATACGGTTATAACGGTTACGGTTAAATACGGTTATAACGGTTACGGTTATAACGGTTACGGTTAAATACGGTTACGGTTACAACGGTTACGGATAATTACGGTTATAGTTATTTGATGACTACAATACGGTTAATATCGGAGGCGAAATCTTACGAGTTACCTAACTTATTATAATATTTTTCATAAAATCAAAAAGTATGTTACAAACCAAATTTTCTTTATTTCGAGCAAAATAACAGTATAACATATTTGTTTGAGAAAAAGACCATTTTTTATAACGTAGATTTTTTCATATGCGGTATCATTTACTTTTTTGAAAATCTTAATCTGAACATTCGATAATTGTTTTTGCATTATATGGAGTTACAATTATATTTTTAAATTTTTAACTATGCGGTTAACCATATGGTTAAATAACGGTTTTCATATGTTTACCGTTAATTAACGGTTACGGTTAATATATTTTTTAACTGTAACTAATTATTTTTTACGGTTAACGGTTACGATTTTTAACCGTTTTATACGGTTACGGTTGAGAAACGATCCGGTTACGGTACAACATATGGTTACGGTTAGCTTTTGGTCATGCCTAGAAAGCATGACCAAAAGCTAACCGTAACCGTATTTTGGATCGTAACAGGACCGTTTTTCAACCGTAACTGTATAAAACGGTTAAAAACCATAACCATTCACCGTAAAACTAGATTAGTTACGGTTAAAAAAATATACTAACAGTAACCGTTAATAAACCGGAAACGTATCAAAACCGTTATTTAACCGTACGATTAGCCGCACGGTTAACCGTATTATTAACCGCATAATTAAACTTTATAAAATATAATTGTAACTATGTATAATGCAAAAAAAAAAGTCTCGAATGTTCAGATAAAGATTTCCGAAAAGGTAAATAATACAGCCTATGAAAAAATCTCATTAGAAATAATGGTTTTTTTCTCAAGTAATTATTTTGGAATGTTATATTGCTCAAAATGAAGAAAATTTTATTTATTATAGGACTAGTAAATTTATATTATTATTCTAACAATAAAATATTGTTCATTCTATATAATCTTAATTTTCATATGTAATTATATACTAAAGTACATTTCTATGTAATTTTTTTTTCTTTCTAAATTCTTAATATTATTTATATGTGTACCGATATGATGTTTCCAATCAGAGTAATTTTTTAAAATTTGTTCTGCGTTATTTTTTTGTACAGCTTTCGTGTTTTATTCTTTTGTACAGCTTTGCACTATTCTCTAACAGCTAACCGCTCCAGCTAACAGCTCCAGCTAACAGCTCCAGCTAACAACTAACAGCTTGTTACCAATCAGACCCATTGATCAGAAAAATGAATTGATGTTTCACTTCGATCGGTTTTAGAAATAAACAGCAGATAAACTATCAAATATGAAAGGTTCTCTTCATGCATGATGATTTTTTTTTTTTTTTTGATAAATGTGTGAGTGTGACAAATGTTTATGTTCTGAATCTTCATAATTAATCAATTTGACTGGTGAGGAAAAAATAAAGATGTGCCTTTCATGGCGTGTGAGTTGTGACGTAAAGGAGAGACAAAATTGATTCTTCTTGCTACGTTGTTTTCTTCCCAAAGTGGAAATAACGAAAGATCTGAGAAGAGAGACCCAAAAAATATCTAGGATGTAGCAAAACCACACATATCAATTAAATATATATCTTTTCTTTTTGATATAAATTAAATATATATTTCCTATGTCAATAAAATAAGTAAAAAATAATGAATGCACAACCTTTTTCTTTTAGAGGGGAAGGGGCCAAAAATAATGAATGTATAACTAAAATGCTACAACATATTGATTTGAGTTTGATTAGTAACCTTTAACAGTTTCTTTTGCAAACGAACCGTTTTAAAGATACCAATCAATAGTGATTAGAAGAAGCGGTTGGAAATAGTGGTTGGAGGAAATGGTTGCCAGCCACGTAAAGATTAAGCTGTTTCGTTTACAAATGAAACAGTTAGAGTTTTTCTTATATTTTTAAAGTTTTAAAAATTTAAAATATTAATATTCTCATATACTATCATCTAAAGGAATTTTTTAAAATAGAAATAACTTTTTCTTGAATATTATTCATATTTTAATTTATTTTATATAACAACTTTTTTAGTATTCAACCGCTTATTATCAATTACCAATAATTTAGCCGCTTGGTTTAACTTAACCACTTTTTATCTTACTATGTTTAACCGTTTTCTGTTTAAATGTTTTCTCAACAACCACTAAAAAAATTTTGAACCGTTACCTATATCTACTAAATCAACAGTCACTTTTAGGCCTGGGAGTTCGGTGAAATCGGGTTATTCGGGTCGGGTTATTCGGTTTTGGGGAAATTCGGTTTTTAAAAAATCTCTCCGAATTGAACCGAAATTAATTTCGGTTCGGGTCAATCGGTACTCGGGTTATTCGGGTCGGTTATTGGGTTTAAAATTAATTCCGAAATTAAACCGATCGTTTTCTATTTCGGTTAATTTGAACCGAATTACAAAAAAAATAGATATTGGGCTGAAAACAAAGCCCAAACTCATTACAACATCAAAATACATTAACAAATTTACAAACCCAATTAATAAATTTACAAGGCCCAACCCATTAAAAATTAGGGTTTTCACGAGGCAACCACATCGACGACGAGGGCGAGGCAGCGACGGTGAGGGCGAGGCAGCCACGGCGACGGCGAGGCAGCCACGGCGACGGCGAGGCAGCCACGGCGACGGCGAGGCAGCCACGGTGACGATGATGTCAGATCTTTACGTCTGATAAAGCTTGTTATTTGCCAACTGCAAGAAAATCTGCCACCAACAAGATCTATTAGTTATCATCATCATAACCACATAAAAGTAAAAAAAATTGAAAATCCAACGAAGAGTGCTCAGATCTAAAGAGTAACCAATGAATCCAGCCGTGATGTTGGTGATGAAGAAGAGTTTAGAGAGTAAACAACAAAGAATCAGAAGAGAAAAAAGAGCTTACCGCAAAAAAAATTGTGGTTACGGGTGTAGAAAGAAGAAGAGCTAACAACAATTGATGAAGAAAAAGAAACGTGGTGCTGATAATGGCTTAGGTTGGAGAAGAAGATGAACTCGGCTTTAGTTTTGATAGAGGCAGAGGCGTAGAGGCGCAGAAGAAAATGAAACCAAATTAGGGTAAATGACTCAATATCCTTATATATGGCTGCAGATTCTTGGTTCTAGGTAAACCGATCGGTTCCGATTACCGAACCGACCCGAACCGAAATCCGATTACCCAAATTAATTTCGCCGGTCGGTTAAGAAGAAGCTGTTCGGTTTATGCCGATAACCGAAAATGTCGGTTTGATCGGGTCGGTTTGATCGGTTTGATCCGAACTCCCAGGCCTAGTCACTTTACCAAAAACTACAGCATTCTCCTTTTGACACGTGGCATAAGTCTCATTTTTTGCTGTTTCACTTTGCCGTAAACCAACTCTACTAATTATTGTGTCGACAAATAAAAATACAAAAAAAAAGAGAAAAACTTCTTCGGCAACTGCTTCTTCCCCACAAAACCACGATTTGACTTTTTACTTTCCTCTCCTCTTCCAAACTCTCTCTTACTTTAATCCATTAAAACTACTGCAGAGATACAATAAAGAAAATTTATAGCAATAATCTAAAAACTCTCTGATTTGATTTTCTCTTCTATGCAATGTGTAAGGCTCTATCTTTTACTCTTCACGAAACATTTCTTTTCCTTCTTTTTACTCTTCTTATGCGATGGTTCATCATTGATGGATGATCTTAGATTCCCATATGAAGGATCTTAACACGGTGAGTTTAGTCCTACTAAATTTTTGGTTCCGCTTTCCAGATTTGTTACATTTTACATTCTCACACTATTTACGCACACCAGGTGTTCGACAAATTGACCTTGGGAGTTTTTGGAAATCGTCTAGGAATTAAAATGGAGGTAACTTAAGAAAAGAGGAATCAATTGTATGAATGTGGAATTCTGCAAACAATTTTGTATAGAGAAGTAACAGAACAACAAACGTTATAGGGTTTGGAATTCAGAAGAAGAAGGAGAAAACCATCTTATATGTTCAAGAATCAAAATTGTTTCCGTGACATATACAAGATACGAAGGTAAAACATAATTATCCAACATTATTATTCTCTTAAGCTTGGAAAAATGGGCTTCATAGATTTTCTTTCTCTCACATATGTATTTACGAAGATTCTTGAATTTTTTATAATGCGATGGAAGTTTCCTTAATTTTGACATTTAGATATGACGATTTTGGTCAAGTAGGGGAAATCGTCATTATAACTAAAGTGAACAATAATTAGAGGAAAAGAACATGTCATTAGAAGTTTAGAACTTATCTTGAGAATGCATCGACGAGGAAATACAAAGTCAAAGTAATGTTTTTTTGTCATCCATACATCTTCGTAATATATTTGTTTGGTCATTACATTTTACGGGACTCTTATATTTACATGGTTCATTAATATTTACTATTTAGTAAGAATAATTATATCATTCAAAAAAAAGTTGGCCCGTACATAGTACGGGCTTTAATACTAGTATTTAACTATGTTACCAGTTGAACCCTATATGTTTAAATACCGTGTTATTTTTATTATCTATGTGATGTCCTTAAATAATAAATTATGTTAAAATGTAGCTAACTCATCAAATAAATAAAGAAATCACACAAAAAAAAATCAGTGAATTTTATGTGAATAACATTTATGTAACCGATGAAGGGAAAAAAAAAAAACATGCCATGAGACGTAGAAACGTCAACGACCATATAATAGTAACACTATTATATGTGATCCTACAAGAAGACACGGCCACCACAAATCTCTGTCACATTCTCCTTCGTTTTCAACCTTGTATATTATTTTTCTTCTTTTCATTATTTCTCTCTAAATCTCAACATTTTTATATATACAACACACACGTTGAAACCAAAAAAAAATCTCTATTGCAAAAAAATAAAGAAAAGAGGTCAAAATGAAGAACACTCATTTGCCTGAAGAATCCAAGGAACCAATCTCTCCGGTATTATCTTCTCACCGGAAACAAAACAAGACAGCCACGAAAACATGTTTCCCGGAAACAACGGTGTTGTCGGGACGTGAGAGGTTGAAGAGACATAGAGAAGAGGTTGCCGGAAAAGTTCCTATACCGGAGAGTTGGGGAAAAGAAGGATTACTTATGGGATGGATGGATTTTTCGACATTCGACGCTGCTTTTACTTCGAGCCAGATTGTTTCTGCTCGAGCTGCGTTAATGGCTGACGCCGGAGACGATGCCGGAACTAGAGGAAGTAGGCCTCAACGCCTTCGAGTTGAGAGTTCTTGTTGATTTCATTGTCTTAGAGAAATGTTTTTGCAAATAATACCTCTCATCATGATTTTGAATGTTTATTAGATACCTTTTCTTCACATTGATTTTGAATTTTTGAACCATTGATACAATTATTCAAATTTTCATATAGTACTTGTCTAATTTAATTGATTTGTAATTGGAATTGCCGGTGATACAACTTATTTTTGGCTATTTATATAGTTTAGTTTTGTAAACGTGGGTTGGATGATTAATTTATTTGCTATAGAAAATTAAGAGATATTGATTGCGAATTGTATAGTGAAGGATTCATGTTTTTCTGATAACATGCAAGTCAGCTTTTTAAACTTTATTTTTCTTCTTAAACTTTCATTTTTTCCTATCATGACATTTTGTGATCAACTTTTTTTTTCTTTCTATCATGACATTTTGTGATCAGCTTTAGATTTTGACTTTTCAACGTTATCATCAAAAACTCACTGATTTTTTTTTTTTTGCAACCAGACATTAATTAAAAAATCACGCCGTGATTAGTAGCCTAATCTGGAAAAAAATTAGACAAAAGATTTTTAAAAATAAAGATCTAGAATGACGAGTTAGACAATTTGCCTTATCATTACAAGAATGAGGAATACTAGAAAGAGAAAAAAAAGAAAAAGGTCATGAAGCAAAACAATCTCATCTACAAGATTGGAGAAAGCGGGTCACTCCTCATGCGACTTCAATATCGACACTACCTCTGTACTATCTGTTTCGAACACGTGGCAGTCAATCCTATTTGAGAGTATACATTGCATAGCCCATAACAGAGCTTCTATTCCCCCAAAAGCACCACCATCCTAAACCCATGGTAGGATCTGATTGTTTCCACGAACCATCGACCCGACATCTTAGAGTTTGTGAAAGGTAACCCGAAGTTTCTCCATTCTCAAAAAGTTCGTCCGAAATCAGTTGAGTCTCTTCCCGCATAACTTGTTCACTTAAAGTGTGTCTTACTATGTCTAAGGATTCTTATTATTATGATTCTTTAATGCCCATTTTCAACTTTTTTTTAATAAATAAGAAGATTATAGATTTTTTAATTCGTAGTCTCTTGAATCTGAACCATAGCATTATTCCTTAAGAACTACATAAATTTAGTTAGTAGAGCCAACATCTCCGAGCCACTCTTTTACGTTATCGATGTTACTATTTCCTTAGGGATATTACAAGATGGAAAACGTTTTAGTTATCAAAAAAGAAGAAGATGAAAAATGTTTGAATGTCCGAGAATTATAAAACTATCCATCCCAATACAATATATCCCCTAATACAATAGACATAATTAGGTCGATACATAGTCACACAAATATAAATTATCTAGATAGAAGTAAATAAATCATTTGGAACAAAACATATTAAATATCACAAGTAATTGATAAGCATAGGCGATGTAGTGACCCGTTCTCGGGCATAAAATTTGTCCGGACGGATCGCGTCCTGAACCAAGTGTCGGAGTCGAGCAAAAGTGAAAGTCTCTTGTGTTCGAAGAACTTGGGCATAAGTTAGGAATTTCTAACGAGAAATACTTAATATTTCTCGAAGAGATGAGTTTTGATCGAAGGAAACTCGTTTTTGGATCGTCCGGTGAACGATTCACCGTGTGCGACAAATGGGGGATTTAAAGGAGGTTATAAGGTCGTGGGGGAAAAAGACTTATAATCAAAAATGCTAAGTAAAATCCTTTTACTTGGCTAAGTTAGTTGGGTCATGTCCGGACATCATGGAACCGGACTACGCCTTGACCATGCCGTGTGGGCGCACCGTGGCTAAAGACGACTTAGCATGTGGCTTAGATAATTTTTGGGATGGTCGAATCTAGAGAAAGATTAGAAGGCATAAATTCCGAGAATCGAGGTAAAGGCGTCAGAAAAGTAATCATTTGTCGGAGAGAGAAACTCCATCTTTTTGACGAAACCGAGGTAATGATTATATCTCTGGCCCAATCAAAAGAAAGATGTTGCCTTTGGTATAAGTTACCTTTCTTGGGCGAAATCGAGGTAATGATTAGTTCTGAGCCAGTCGTTGAGGAGGAATATAACCAAAGGTGCAAGTTACCTCTTTTGGACAAAACGAGGTAATGATGAGGTTGGGGCGACACGAACTTCGAACCAATCGTAGAGAAGGAGTGTTGCCATGAGGTGGGCGACACGAACTTCGAACCAATCGTAGAGAAGGAGTGTTGCCATGAGGTGGACGACACGAACTTCAAACCAATCGTAGAGAAGGAGTGTTGCCATAAGTTGGGCGACACGAACTTCAACCCAATCACAAGGAAACGTGTTCCATAGGGTTGGGCAATGCGAACTCCAAGCCAATCGGTGGAAGAGTGTCTTTGTGGGTTTGAGTCACCCAAGACGCGACATGTGTCCGTCATGCGTCAAGTCTCGTCCTCTATAAATAGAACCAAGGCTTTGGGGCTCAAGTCATTCACCAAAAGCTAGAGAGAAATCGTGAGAGAGAGCTCTCTGAAATCTCCGGTGAAGTGACGGCCGCTCCTGAAGCTGACGGTAGAGGTGGACGACGGAGTTCTGGATGACAGAGTTCTGGACAAAGTACCAAACCAGAAGTTCCCGATCAGAGTAGTTATTCCGCTGAGACATCACAATCATCCGACCCGCGTAATCACAGTGAGTTCCGAAGCATGTGTGGTGGCACATGATTTACTTTGTGTGCTTGTTTATTGGTAGTGTGCTTGTTGATGTTGTTGTTGATTGATCGTAGAATTGATAAGGATTATCATTCATGTCATGTATGATTGATGCTTTAAGTACGCTTCGTCGTAGCTTAGTTGCATGCATATAGTGTTTGTGGTGTTCGGGTGCGTTTCCCTGTTTGTTTTGGGGGTTCGGAGAGACTGGGTCGCTCCCAAGGGCCGAACAGTTAACTGACGAGGTAACGGGGATTGCCTGTCGTGGAAGGCCCATGTGGTACATCGTTTGTAGACTTGGTGGCTACTAGCGGATTGTTCACTTGTTTCGATGGGAAGGATCGTTCACATGGCCATAGGATTTTTGTTGTTGTTGTTATCATTTACCCGTGCATTCATCATATTGCATAACTGTTGCATTGATTTACTTGTTGATTATTGCATGCTATTGATTGCTTGTTGCTTGTTGCTTGACCAACGTTTATTGTTTTGGGTTGGGTTGTTTAGCTTCCGAAATTAGGCGCCGAACTCACTGAGTACTTGTATTCATGATTCCACCATTTTTTGTTGCAGGAAACCTTAGGGGGAAAAGCCGTAGAGGGTCGTTGGGACAATAGGATCTTGGTGTAGATTGTTGGGTAGAAATGTAAAGGCTACTATTGTGTATTATGTATTGTGAAATGGGATCCCCGGAAACCTTATATGATTGTTTGTGCGATTTGTATCATATTATACTAAGTATAGAAAGGTTTTCTCAAAATGGGGATGGTTTGATGATATAAGGTTCTGTCCGAACCGCATAACTCCCTTTCCCGATAAAAGGTTGGCAAGCCAGATATCGGGATTGGGAGGGACGGTACTAAGCGGGGGCAGGTCAGAGGGAGAGCTTGGTGCTTAAACCTTGATCCGCTCTTGCAAAGTACTTGTCACCTGTACGATTCTAGCCGGGCTATTTCTAGCACGATTCAAGGTCGCTACAGTTTTAGGTGGTATAGAGCATGGTTACAGATGCTCGGGAACCATCCCGCTTTTCAAATGTTTTATCGAGTCAAAATTGAGTCGTATTTCTACCTTAGGATAAACCAAGTTGTCTCAACGTGGGGTCTAGGTAGATGGGAATCTTTAGGACTAACCTTGCTTTGGTGATGCAGATGCCTTCGCGACACACTAGACTTTTGGGCGGACGACTGTGGGGTTTTCCGTCAAACGCTGGACCAAGCAACATGTACGGGAATAGTGGTGATAGTTCTGACGATTCTGTGATTCCATCGGAACATGTGAGACGGATGTTGGAAGGATCGGAATCGGAGTCTTTCATGGCTACGAGTCCTTCGGTGACTTCGGTTGAATCCATTTGTACGAGAAAGATGGTAGGTTCGGATAGTTCATTCGAGTCGGATCAATCGGAAGATCCTGAGGAGTTTGAGGATATCGTCGAGACGAGTGTGGAATCTGACGAAGTTGTGCCTCTAGTGGATTTGGGAGGAAACCTTGGAAGTGTTCCGGTTTCGGATTTTGTGGTACTTTCTGACGATTCCGTGGAGGATTTTTCGGACGAGTTGAGGAGTGTGAGGAACAGATGGCGACTGGTTTTCTCTTCGGAGATAGCGACATTGATGAGCCTATGTGGGAAGGCCCCGATGGAGTTTTGTATGAGTTCAACTCCGATGATTCGTGGCAGCCAGGAGTTCATGTGAATCCGTACTATTATCCTCCGTCGCCGGATAGCTTGTTGACGTTGGATTCGTTCAGCTCAATGTCCTTGGGGACAGACTTTGGTGTTTCCGATGCACCTTCGGAAGATAATGCTTCACGCGATTCTGACAGTATTGTGTTTTTGCCGACGGAATATGGGATTCCAAGGCAAGCTTTGGCTTACAACATGGTGCCACCAAATGAAGTGTTCGCTACACCGCCTGGTCCGCCGTCTCCGGATTTTGTTGAGCTATCGTCGGATGATGAGTTAGCTGATGCTGAAGAATCGGGAACGGAGTTGCCAATCCCTAATTTCGTAAAGGCTGAATCGCTTAGGATGTCTACCCCGCCAAGAAGGTTTGCGACCCGAACTTGGTATCCTGGTTATCATGGTGAAGAAGGTGTTGAGTCGTCCCATATGAATCTTGAGAACCATGTTGGTGATCAAGAAGTACCAGACGCAACGGCCAATTGCGAGACCTTGTTCGCTACTCCTCCGCGTGTTGAAAAACTTGAAGTGTTGTTTCCTCCGAATGAAACGCTTTACGAGCCAACTATTGGTTTGAGTTCCTTGGATGCTATGATCCAGAACATGATTGCTGCGGGTACCCTTGGTGTTGAACCGATCCGACCACCCGAAGGTATGCCCATTTGGAACGAAAGGATGAGGAGATCCGCGGATGGAACCATTGTGACTGAGTTGGAACGTGAGGATGGACGTAGGTCTGAGCCTTATAGTGTGACGTCGTTTTGCTTCACTTGCGGCCAAAATGGCCATTATCCGAGAACTTGTCCTTATGTTCACCACTATCATCCCTATGCTCGCCCGTACGTTGTTTGTTTCGAGTGTGGTGATGAGGGTCACTATGCGAGCGTTTGTCCCAGGAAGTATTCCGAGAATCCCGGTCCGTCAAGCCCAAGTCCAAGTGCGTCCGCGAGGAAGTCGACGGAAAACCTTAGTGCTTTATAGGATTTTTCCTAAACCTTCAACAGTTAAGTCCGACGAGGTAAGTAAGGGCTCTAACCCATTGTATGATTTCGTGTTGTATGTTAGCATCATTTGCATTTAGTTGTTTTTCTTTTTCGGCTTGTAACCGCTTTGGTGGAGCGTATGACTAAGTGTTTAGCGGTCGTAATCCACGGTTGTAATGAAACGGTATGTGTAAACCCGAATTTTGTAAAGAGAGTATGTGTAAACCCGCCTTTTGTAAGAACGGTATGAATGAAAGATATGTTTATGAGGAAAACAAAGTCTTGTCATTGGATACCTTGTGTTTTGTGATAAACGGAATCGTGATGATGTGATGCGGAAAAATATTGTGATGCTTGAGTGTACAAGGAAGTACATCAAGAGATTTTTGTGATGAGTTGTTTGATCACCTTGGGATCAAGGATGGTTATTCTAAAGGGAACTTTCAAAAATACGGAAATTTTTGAAGTGTTGAACTTAGTCTATCTACATGAAATAACTAAGTAGTTATGTTGTTTAAGTCTCAAGTAACAGAATACTTGTGAATTGGACGAACAAGTGTAAGATGGCGTGGAAGAATGAAAGGAACCGGATCAAGAGGAAGGATCGCGGACTTGCCTTGTCATGCTCACGCTAAGTTCAATCGAGAAGGAGAAGATCTTCAAGATTGGAGTGCTGAATCTCCGAAGGGAGAATTGTTTCCGTGTAGTTGATCATAAGTCCTAGGATCACTACATAAGGGAAGGGCCTGGATTGTTGGGTTTTATTTAAGACAAGTAAAAGAAGTCTTGAATAAATGTTCCAATCCATGAGCTTAAGGCCGAGAGTGTTGAGAACTTCGTTTGGGCTTCAAGTGGAAGTTATACACTTGCATGAATGGGGAATTTGTGAGGAATCGGAATGGAATGAGAATCCAATACCGAAGTTCTGTAAATCCCCGGGATGTTTAAGCCAGAAAGCTTAAGTACTAAAACAACCAAGAAGCTCGACGATAAGGAGTTTCAAGGAAGTTCAAACCAAGTGAAGAACGCCGACGATTTATCTCGTTAGGAATTCGTCCCGAATTCCAATGAGAGGGAGTGAATATAGTGACCCGTTCTCGGGCATAAAATTTGTCCAGACGGATCGCGTCCTGAACCGAGTGTCGGAGTCGAGCAAAAGTGAAAGTCTCTTGTATTCAAAGAACTTGGGCGTAAGTTAGGAATTTCTAACGAGAAATACTTAATATTTCTCGAAGAGATGAGTTTTGATCGAAGGAAACTCGTTTTTGGATCGTCTTGTGAACGATTCACCGTGTGCGGCAAATGGGGGATTTAAAGGAGGTTTTAAGGTCGAGGGGGAAAAAGACTTATAATCAAAAATGTTAAGTAAAATCCTTTTACTTGGCTAAGTTAGTTGGGTCATGTCCGGACATCATGGAACCGGACTACGCCATGACCATGCCGTGTGGGCGCACCGTGGCTAAAGACGACTTAGCATGTGGCTTAGATAATTCTTGGGATGGTCGAATCTAGAGAAAGATTAGAAGGCATAAATTCCGAGAATCGAGGTAAAGGCGTCAGAAAAGTAATCATTTGTCGGAGAGAGAAACTCCACCTTTTTTACGATACCGAGGTAATGATTATATCTATGGCCCAATCAAAAGAAAGATGTTGCCTTTGGTATAAGTTACCTTCCTTGGGCGAAATCGAGGTAATGATTAGTTCTGAGCCAGTCGTTGAGGAGGAATATAACCAAAGGTGCAAGTTACCTCTTTTGGACAAAACGAGGTAATGATGAGGTTGGGGCGACACGAACTTCGAACCAATCGTAGAGAAGGAGTGTTGCCATGAGGTGGGCGACACGAACTTCAAACCAATCGTAGAGAAGGAGTGTTGCCATGAGGTGGACGACACGAACTTCAAACCAATCGTAGAGAAGGAGTGTTGCCATAAGTTGGGCGACACGAACTTCGACCCAATCACAAGGAAACGTGTTCCATAGGGTTGGGCAATGCGAACTCCAAGCCAATCGGTGGAAGAGTGTCTTTGTGGGTTTGAGTCACCCAAGACGCGACATGTGTCCGTCATGCGTCAAGTCTCGTCCTCTATAAATAGAACCAAGGCTTTGGGGCTCAAGTCATTCAACAAAAGCTAGAGAGAAATCGTGAGACAGAGCTCTCTGAAATCTCCGGTGAAGTGACGGCCGCTCCTGAAGCTGACGGTAGAGGTGAACGATGGAGTTCTGGACGAAGTACCAAACCAGAAGTTCTCGATCAGAGTAGTTATTCCGCTGAGACATCACAATCATCCGACCCGCGTAATCACAGTGAGTTCCGAAGCATGTGTGGTGGCACATGATTTACTTTGTGTGCTTGTTTGTTGGTTGTGTGCTTGTTGATGTTGTTGTTGATTGATCGTATAATTGATAAGGATTATCACTCATGTCATGTATGCTTGATGCTTTAAGTACGCTTTGTCATAGCTTAGTTGCATGCATATAGAGTTTGTGGTGTTCGAGTGCGCTTCCCTGTTTGTTTTGGGGGTTCGGAGAGAGTGGGTCGCTCCCAAGGGCCGAACAGTTACCTGACAAAGTAACGGGGATTGCCCGTCGTGGAAGGCCCATGTGGTACATCGCTTGTAGACTTGGTGGCTACTAGCGGATTGTTCACTTGTTTCGATGGGAAGGATCGTTCACATGGCCATAGGATTTTTGTTGTTGTTGTTATCATTTACCCGTGCATTCATCATATTGCATAACTGTTGCATTGATTTACTTGTTGATTATTACATGCTATTGATTGCTTGTTGCTTGTTGCTTGAATAACGTTTATTGTTTTGGGTTGGGTTGTTTAGCTTCCGAGATTAGGCGCTGAACTCACTGAGTACTTGTATTCATGATTCCACCATTTTTTGTTGCAGGAAACCTTAGGGGGAAAAGCCGTAGAGGGTCGTTGGGACAATAGGATCTTGGTGTAGATTGTTGGGTAGAAATGTAAAGGCTACTATTGTGTATTATGTATTGTGAAATGGGATCCCCGGAAACTTTATATGATTGTTTGTGCGATTTGTATCATATTATACTAAGTATAGAAAGGTTTTCTCAAAATGGGGAGGTTTGATGATATAAGGTTCTGTCCGAACCGCATAACTCCCTTTCCCGGTAAAAGGTTGGCAAGCCGGATATCGAGATTGGGAGGGACGGTACTAAGCGGGGGCAGGTCAGGGGGAGAGCTTGGTGCTTAAACCTTGATCCGCTCTTGCAAAGTACTTGTCACCTGTACGATTCTAGCAGGGCTATTTCTAGCACGGTTCAGGTTCGCTACAGGCGAATGCTATTGTCCATGACATTGATCGATAAAACCTTTTATTAACGAAATACGATTACTCACTGTGGATGTCGGAATCCGCAATACAAATTTTAAGATGTGTATCGGGTCGTCTAGCCTTGATAATTCGAGTAACAATCGAGAAAAAGAAAACAAAAGAGTGAAGTGTATGTATCTGTATATTGCTCAAGAATTCGGTCCGTATTACAATGGTTTTCGTTCTCTCTTTATAGTTACATGATTCGAAACCGACGTCCACTATCAAGCCGCAGATCTCGCCTTTATCATTGCTTCCGTTTCGAATCTTCATTCTCTTGCAGATCCCGTGCGACCCGCATTTCGTTTAATTCGCATGATCCCGACGTTTCACCTGAGCTGGGCTGGAGCTTACTGGGCTGTCCTTTTCGTCTCTTGGACTGGGCCGACAATTCACTTCATCTTATTAATCCATTATCTTTTCGGGCCGGATCCGAATTGCGGGATCCGACACCAACAGTTTGCCCCCCAAGTGTTCCGAAGTGAACACTTCGGGATACTTTAAATGCTGAACTTTTCCTCGGGTTCGGAGATTTCGTCGTTAATTCCGCTTTTCCCGGGATTTGGTTCTCAACCGAAGTGACGTTTCGAGATCCTAAGGTGATTTTTTTCCGCGGATCGAGGGATTTTCCTCGGGAAGATAAAGACGCTTCAAGATCCTAGGGTTTCTCATTTTGCCGCCCAATGACCCTCTATATAATCATTAGACTCTTCGGGTTCTGCAAACGCACACATCCTTATCTTCTTCAAACCGCTTCTGCTCTTCCATATTTAAAGGTAACTCCCTCTCCTCTCTACTTCTATCTCTTCTTTGATCTTTAACTGCTTTTATAGTTCCGGAATCGTTAAATAGTCCGCCGTCCTAGCTAGTAATCGTCAGGTTTAGGCCAGAAATCTAAAAGATTTCTTAGATTTTCAGCCGTTTGTCTAAAGATTCCCGCTGTTCTTCTTCCGCTCCGCCGTGTTCTTTGTATTCCGGCGATTCGTGCTCATTTCCCGGAGAACGTCCACCACTGGATCTTCCTGTTTTCTGGGTTTCTACAAAGATTTAGAGTTTGCTCAATCGTGTTCTTGAGGTGTTCTTGAGCTTCTTTGTTCCCAGATCTTCTCTCAAACTCCAATATTACCAACATAGAGTTATGGCTCCGAGGAAAAGCAAGAAAATCCGAAGTGAAACTTTCGTCTTATAAGGTGACTTCGGAAAGTATTTCTCATCGGATCTCGATGATAAAAAGTTGGCCTTGATGAAAGGCGGCTGCAGGATCCCGCGTCAAATCAATCTAGTAGCCCCGGGGCCCCAGGAGTCTCCAGAATCTCCTCCTAACGACCACGCTTGCGCTTTCGAGATATTCTTTTCGGAGTGTGGTCTATCCTTCCCTCTTCCAGGGCTTCTAGTGGAACTTATGCACGAGTTAGGGATAGCTCTACCCCAACTCTGTCCAAATGTTGTCCGAACTGTCCTGAGCCTTCAAACTCTAGCGGAGGAAAACGGATATAGGATCTCTCTTGCTGACGTCTTTCAACTTTATACGATGAAGAAAGGTCGCACCCCAGGAACATTCTTCCTCAGTCCTCGAAGCCATTTCAAAGTCTTCGGAGATTTTCCTGATAAAGATGAACAGTGGAGGAAATCATACTTTTTCTTCCCCGTTAACGAATTTTCCTATGGTCCGAATACAGGCTTCTTTGTCCGAGATTGGACTCGTCGTCCTGGTTAGATAGCTTTTTAGGGATTGTATTGCGTACTTTTTCTCTAACTTTGCTTTTCAACGAACTAACCCCTTTTCTTTTGTCTTTTGCAGTCAAGTTCCCGAAGAAGCCACTTTCTCATACCTTTGCGGAGCAATTCGTAAA